TGTGGACCAATCAACTTCAAGGACAGTGCATACATTATCAGAGTTGTGTGTTTTGTTTGCATTATGACTGCAGGTATTGTGGTCTATGCAAACATGACTCCTTGTAAAAAAGGTGTCAGTTTTTTGTACCAGTTGAAAGGGTAAAAACCTATCACTATATTTTGCCACTGGTAAAGGAGATGTCTCATAGTGTAAATGCTTACCCCGAGCTCTCAATACTCTGATAGTGTGCTGTTTTTGAGTTGTACGCCTTTTGGCGTCATCTGGTCCAATACCAAGTGAGACTAGGCTCTAAGAAAAGCTGTCTCGGGTGTGGACCAATCAACTTCAAGGACAGTGCATACATTATCAGAGTTGTGTTTTTTGTTTGCATTACGACTGCAGGTATTGTGGTCTATGCAAACATGACTCCTTGTAAAAAAAGTGTCAGTTTTGTTGCCAGATAGAAGGGTAAAAAAACAATTATCATATATTTTTTCTGACAAATGAGGTCCCAATGGCGATTTGAAGCACGTTTTATTTTGGGGGGGGAGGGGGCAGAGCTTTGTGACGTCATTTGAGGGTGTGACGAAGGGGGGGGGGTCAAACATCGTCCTAAATCTCGTGACGTCATTTATGGACGGCCCCAAATGTGTCTTGTCCCGGATCAAGTCGCCCTCCTCATTCATGTCCCAGGGCGCCCACCACGTCCGGCTGCGTCAAAGGTCACCAGGCACGCGGAGACGCCGAGAGAGACACGGAGACACAGAGAGAGACACGGGGTGAGACACGGAGACACACAGAGAGACACGGAGACACGTGGTGAGAGACACGGGGTGAGACACGGAGACACAGAGAGCCACGGGGTGAGACACAGAGACACGGAGACACGGGGTGAGAGACACGGGGTGAGACACGGAGACACAGAGAGAGACACGGGGTGAGACACAGAGACACGGAGACACGGGGTGAGACACGGAGACACAGAGAGAAACACAGAGACACGGAGACACAGAGAGAGACACGGGGTGAGACACAGAGACACGGAGACACGGGGTGAGAGACACGGGGTGAGACACGGAGACACAGAGAGAAACACAGAGACACGGAGACACAGAGAGAGACACGGGGTGAGACACGGAGACACAGAGAGAGACACGGGGTGAGACACAGAGACACGGAGACACGGGGTGAGAGACACGGGGTGAGACACGGAGACACAGAGAGAGACACGGGGTGAGACACAGAGACACGGAGACACGGGGTGAGAGACACGGGGTGAGACACGGAGACACAGAGAGAGACACGGGGTGAGACACGGAGACAGAGACACGGGGTGAGAGACACGGGGTGAGACACGGAGACACAGAGAGAGACACAGATACACGGAGACACGGGGTGAGAGACACGGGGTGAGACACGGAGACACAGAGAGAGACACGGGGTGAGACACAGAGACACGGAGACACGGGGTGAGAGACACGGGGTGAGACACGGAGACACAGAGAGAAACACAGAGACACGGAGACACAGAGAGAGACACGGGGTGAGACACAGAGACACGGAGACACGGGGTGAGACACGGAGACACAGAGACACGGGGTGAGACACAGAGACACGGAGACACGGGGTGAGACACGGGTTGAGACACGGAGACACAGAGACACGGAGACACAGAGAGAGACACGGGGTGAGACACAGAGAGTCACGGAGACACAGAGAGAGACACGGGGTGAGACACAGAGAGACACGGAGACACAGAGAGAGACACGGGGTGAGACACAGAGAGACACGGAGACACGTGGTGAGACACAGAGACACGGAGACACGTGGTGAGACACAGAGACACGGAGACACGGGGTGAGACACGGAGACACGGGGTGAGACACGGAGACACAGAGAGACACGGAGACACGGGGTGAGACACGGAGAGAGACACGGGGTGAGACACGGAGACACAGAGAGACACGGGGTGAGACACAGAGACACAGAGAGAGACACGGGGTGAGACACGGAGAGAGACACGGGGTGAGACACGGAGACACAGAGACACAGAGACACGTGGTGAGACACGGGTGAGACACGGAGAGAGACACGGAGACACAGAGAGAGACACGGGGTGAGACACAGAGACACGGAGACACGGGGTGAGACACGGAGAGAGACACATAGACACGGGGTGAGACACAGAGACACGGGTGAGACACGGGGTGAGACACAGAGACACGGAGACACGGGGTGAGACAGAGATACAGAGACACGGGGTGAGACAGAGAGAGAGACACAGACACGGAGACACGGGGTGAGACAGACAGAGAGACACGGGGGGGGGGGGGAGGTGTCTGAGTGAGTGGTGGTGGTGAGTGGTGGTGGTGAGTGTGGGTGAGTGTGGATGAGTGGTGGTGGTGAATGGCGGTGGTGAGTGTGGGTGAGTGGTGGTGGTGAGCGTGGTATATTTTGCAGTAAATCAGAAATATTCGATAGTAAAATTGTTCAGCTCATGATTATTCATGATGGGGGAGGGGTTTCCCCTTATGCAGTGACGTCACCCGCTAATGGTTATTGGGGAGGGATGCGGCAGAGGTCGCAAACGGGTTTTGATTCCTTACCCGTACCCGGCCGCACCAGGGTCGCAAACGGGTACCCGTACCCGGCCGTACTCGTACCCTACCCGTACCCGTACCCTACCCGTACCCGGCCGGGTAGGTTACGGGTATCGGGTACCCGGTTGCGACCTCTGGGATGAAGCCATGTTGCAGGCGCGGGTGGGTTGATTCTAGGAACTTGAATTGTGAGAAGAGACAAGACGTTGGGAAATGAGTGACAAACGGTGACTCACCAGTGACTCACGGCCTACCCGTACCCGTACCTGGCCGCACCAGGGTCGCAAACGAGTACCCGTACCCGGCCGTACCCTACCCGTACCCTACCCGTACCCGGCCGGGTATCGGGTAGGGTACGGGTATCGGGTAGGGTACGGGTATCGGGTACCCGGTTGCGACCTCTGGGATGCGGCATGTGGAGTTTGTGACCTTCTACGCGTGCGTGAATATTAATGTAGCGCTGTGCTGCTAAGATTTATTTTTTACCGTCACTTCCTGTGAAGAAACTTCACTTTGAAACGTCACTTCCTGTGAAGAAACTTCGCGTTTGAAACGTCACTTCCTGTGAAGAAACTTCGCGTTTGAAACGTCACTTCCTGTGAAGAAACTTCACGTTTGAAACGTCACTTCCTGTAAAGAAACTTCACGTTTGAAACGTCACTTCCTGTGAAGAAACGTCACCTTTGAAACGTCACTTCCTGTGAAGAAACTTCACTTTGAAACGTCACTTCCTGTGAAGAAACTTCACTTTGAAACGTCACTTCCTGGGCTCGTGGAGTGACGTCACGTGGGGGGTGGGGGCTCATGTGGAGTGACGTCACGCCAGGGGGGTGGGGGATCATGTGGAGTGACGTCACGCGGGGGGGGTGGGGGATCATGTGGAGTGACGTCACGCCAGGGGGGTGGGGGCTCATGTGGAGTGACGTCACGTGCGGGACGGACAGACATTTCCGGGTGATTCTATTCGGCAATTCTCTCCTTGGCAGGGCGACCTTGGTCGGGGCGAGCTGGTGAGCGAGCTGGTGAGCGAGCTGGTGATCGACTCGGTGATCGACTCGGTGAGCGAGCTGGTGATCGACTCGGTGAGCGAGCTGGTGATCGACTCGGTGAGCGAGCTGGTGATCGACTCGGTGAGCGAGCTGGTGATCGACTCGGTGATTGACCCGGTGAGCGAGCTGGTGATCGACCCGGTGAGCGAGCTGGTGATCGACTCGGTGAGCGAGCTGGTGATCGACTCGGTGATTGACCCGGTGAGCGAGCTGGTGAGCGAGCTGGTGATCGACTCGGTGAGCGACTCGGTGAGCGAGCCGGTGAGCGAGCTGGTGAGCGACTCGGTGAGCGAGCTGGTGAGCGACCCGGTGAGCGACTCGGTGAGCGAGCTGGTGAGCGAGCTGGTGATCGACCCGGTGAGCGAGCTGGTGAGCGAGCTGGTGAGCGAGCTGGTGATCGACTCGGTGATCAACTCGGTGATCAACTCAGTGAACGACTCGGTGATCAACTCGGTGAGCGAGCCGGTGAGCGATGGTGCTGCGGGTGGACGAGATGATGGAGGTGGTGGCGACGCTGGCGCGCCAGCGCGGGGTGCAGGTGGCGCTGACCCAGGCCGGCAAGGGCGCCATCGTCACGGGAGGCATCGCCCTGCTGGGGGGACTCATCGCTGGACCCGTGGGCATCGCCGCCGGTCAGTCACTCGCTCGCTCGCTCACTCACACACCCACCCACCCACCCACTCACCCATTTACTCACTCACCCACCCACCCACCCACTCACCCACCCACCCACCCACTCACCCACCCACTCACCCACCCACCTACCCACTCACCTACCCACTCACTCACCCACCCACCCACTCACTCACCTGCTCACCCACCCACCCACCCACCCACCCACCCACTCACTCACTCACTCACTCACTCACCCACCCACCCACACACTCACCCACTCACCCACCCACTCACTCACTCACTCACCCACCCACCCACCCACCCACTCCCTCACCCACCCACCCACTCCCTCACCCACCCACTCCCTCACCCACTCCCTCACCCACCCACTCACCCACTCACCCACTCCCTCATCCACCCACTCACCCACTCACCCACTCCCTCACCCACCCACCCACTCACTCCCTCACCCACTCCCTCACCCACCCACTCACCCACTCACCCACTCCCTCACCCACCCACTCCCTCACCCACTCCCTCACCCACCCACTCACCCACTCACCCACCCACTCACCCACCCACCCACCCACTCACTCACTCACCCACTCACCCACTCGCTCGCTCACTCACTCACCCACACACTCACTCCTCCACTCACCCACTCACCCCCCCCAGGTGGTGCTCTGGGTGGCCTGGTGGGCATGGCAGTGACCCGCGGCACGTTCCGCCCTCTCACTCACTCACCCACTCACCCACCCACCCACTCACTCACCTGCTCACTCACTCACTCACCCACCCACCCACTCACTCACCTGCTCACTCACTCACTCACCCACTCACCCACCCACCCACTCACTCACCTGCTCACTCACTCACTCACCCACCCACCCACTCACTCACCTGCTCACTCACTCACTCACCCACCCACCCACCCACTCACCCACCCACCCACCCACTCACTCACTCACCCACCCACCCACCCACTCACTCACCCACTCACTCACTCACTCACCCACCCACTCACTCACCCACTCACCCACCCAACCACTCCATCACTCACCCACCCAACCACTCACCCACCCACCCAACCACTCACCTGCTCACTCACTTACTCACCCACCCCCCCCCCCACTCCCCCACCCCCACTCACCCCCCACCCACCCAGGTGGTGCTCTGGGTGGCCTTGTGGGCATGGCGGTGACCCGCGGCACGTTCCGCCCTCTGCACGAGGTGCTGGCCGAGCTCCCGGAAGCCGAGCGGCGCCATCTGGCCGAGGCGGCGGCCGGCGCCGTGGGCGGCCTCGAGTGGAGCGACGCGGCGCAGCTGCTGGCGCTGCTCGCCGCCACCAGCGCCAGTGGCGGCGGCAACCTCGGCAACACCGTGTTGGCCGCCGTGGTGGAGCAGCTGACGGGGCGGATGGGAGCCCAGGTGGAGAGCTACCCGGACTGACGGGGGGCGGTGGGCGGGGTGAACGTCGGGTGGACGTCGGGTGAACGTCGGGTGGACGTCGGGTGGACGTTGGGTGGACGTTGGGTTGACGTTGGGTGAACGTTGTGTGTATGTCATAGCGAACGTGGCCGGGTGAATGTCATCGTTGGAGCCGGCGACTAGGCCGAGGATCTGGAGATTGTTGAAGAGCCGCGTGGTGGTGGTGGTGGTGGTGGCGGCGGCGGCGGCGGCGGCGGCGGCGGCGGCGGCGGCGGCGGTGGTAGTGGTGGTGGTGGTGTTTTCCTGTTACGCTCACCCGCTCGCTCGTTCGCTCACCCCTCGCTCACTCACCCACCCACTCGCTCACTCACCCACCCACTCGCTCACCCACCCACTCGCTCACCCACCCACTCACCCACTCGCTCACCCACCCACTCGCTCACCCATCCACTCGCCCACTCGCTCACCCGCCCACTCGCTCACCCGCCAACTCGCTCACCCACCCACTCGCCCACTCGCTCACCCACCCACTCGCTCACCCACCTGCTCGCCCACTCGCCCACCCAATCACCCGCTCGCTCTGTGTATCACAGAGCCCGCCTCTGTGATACGCAGCAGCAGCAGCAGCAGTGCCTTAGTGAGGGTAGCCTTGTGTCAGCCACACGGTGACAGCTGCCACTGGGGGTGCCCCTAGGCTCGTCCGCAGTCAGCAGGAGCAGCAAGCATCAACCAACCCGAACTGTGAAACTACCGCAGGCTCTGCCTGTCATACAACAGCAGCAGCAATCGTCGCTACCTCTAACTGTGAAACTACTGCACTTATCGCTGCCCCTGATGCTGCTGACGATGATGATGCTGCTGATGATGATGATGCTGATGATGATGATGCTGCTGATGATGATTGAATGGCATGACCACAGCAGTGAGTGAGTGTGTGTGAGTGTGAGAGTTCCTCTGGCAGGCAAGGCTGCGTTGGCTGGGTCACATAGCCCGCATGCCCAGCCACCGCATGCCTAAACAGCTTTTGTTCGGCCGGATAGAGGCGGATAAACTGGTACAGGAGGACGTGGAGCTGAGTGGACTTGCCGATGACCGGTACCAGCGGTGTCAAGATCGGCCTCTGTGGAGGAGGCTCGTGAAGGACGCTGCTACTGGGCAGTTGGAGGCTGTCGCCCTCAAACAACAATGGAGGAGCGACGCTCACAACAACGAGCGGAGCGCCGGGTGGCTAAAGCACAGAAAGTTTGCGCAGTAGGGGGCACAGGTGGTGCATCAGCCAGTCATCTCGGTCATCTCGGTCAGTCGACCCGTGGCACCTGCTGGGTCTGCCCCGTGACCTCCTGCCAGCGGGCGTTCGACACTCCACGTGGCCTCAAGGTGCACATGGCCTGGCACAAGCGTCGTGGTGACGTCACCGCCACTTAGTGGCGAATGGCGGTTGTTGTTGTTGTGTGTGAGTTAATGTATTTCTATGGGTCTTTATGAGTCGATGTATCTATATGGGTCTATGGGTCTCTTTAAGTCCACTCACCCATCTACCCACTCAACCACTCACACACACCCACCAACCCACTCGTCCACCCACCAACCCACTCACCCACCCACTCACCCAGTCACTCCCACCCACTCGCCCACCCACCCACTCGCCCACCGATCCACTCGCCCACCCACCCACTCGCCCACCCATCCACTCGCCCACCCACCCACTCGCCCACCCACTCAGTCACCCACTCACCCACTCGCCCACCCACTCACCCACCCACCCACTCACCCACCCACTCACCCACCCACCCACCCACTCACCCACCCACCCGCCCACTCACCCACTCGCTCACTCACCCACCCACGCACCCACTCGCCCACCCACTCACTCAACCACTCACCCACTCACCCACTCACTCACCCACTCACCTACCCACCCACTCACCCACCCACCCACTCACTCACCCACCCACTCACTCACTCACCCACCCAGCCACTCACCCACCCACCCACTCACCCACCCACCCACTCACCCACCCACTCACTCACCCACCCACCCACCCACTCTCCCACCCACTCACCCACCCACTCACCCACCCACTCACCCACTCACCCACCCACTCACCCACCCACTCCACCACCCACCCACCCACCCACCCACTCACCCACCCACCCACCCACTCACCCAGCCACCCACCCACTGACTCGCCGGTTAACCGGTCCGGAGGCTGTTGAACGTCGTGGCGAGGTTGGATTTGCGACGTTTGAAGCAGGGCGACGTGTGAAGGTTTGGTATTGATCAAATAAATATATAAATACAATCCTCCCCGTGCACGCGTGTGTGTAGTGTAGTATGTAGTGGTGTGTGTGTAGTGTATAGTGTGTGTAGTATAGTGTGGTGTGTGTAGTGGTGTGTAGTGTATAGTGTGTGTAGTGTGTAGTGGTGTATAGTGTAGTGTAAAGCGTAGTAGTGTATAGTGTGTGTATATTGAAGTGTTGTAGTGTATAGTGTAGTGTATAGTAGTGTAGTATGTAGTGTGGTGTGTGTGTGTAGTGGTGTGTAGTGTAGTGGTGTGTAGTTTAGTGTGTAGTGTATAGTGTAGTTTGTGTAGTGTAGTGTGTATAGTGTAGTGTAGGCGGAGGTCACGGGTCGACTGACCGAGATAACTGGCTGATGCACCACCTGTGCCCCCTACTGTGCCAACTTGCTGTGCTTTAGCCACCCGGCGCTCCGCTCGTTGTTGTGAGCGTCGCTCCTCCGCCCTCCGTTGTTGTTGTAGGGCGACTGCCTCCAACTGCCCAGTAGCGTCCTTGGGGCTGATGGTAAGGCCCCACCTCTTAGTGGCAAGCTCCAGTCTCAGCAGCAGCGTCTCCAACTCCTCCTCTGAATGAGCAGCTATTACCAAATCATCGGCATACATAACGTGGGCGTCGATCAGCCTCCCATTATATCTGTACCAAACGGAAATTCCCCCGGTACAGCTATTGAAGGCTTCACGAACTACGCGGTCAAAATAGATGTTAAATAATGTAGGAGCCAGAGGACATCCCTGTCGCACCCCAAGGTGTACAGGGAAAGGCTCTGACTCCCGGCCAAACGTAGTTTTACCTGGGCCCGCTCACCATCATGAAGGTCCTTAATGATCGTGAGCACACACACGCACACACACACACGCACACATACACACACACACAAAGATCCCCTGTATAGCCTTTAACAGACTGTTGGGACAAGTGCTCTCCCCACACGCGCACGCATACACACACATACGAACCCTCGCTCCCACCCCAATCAACACCACAGGAAAAAAAACAACTCCGGACATTTATACCCCAAACAAGCATTTACAGAGTTTTTGGAGTTTCGGTAAAAGTCACGTAGATAGGCTCAAAGAAAATAACAAAAAAAACATTTTCTTTGAACCTATTTAAGTGACTCGCGAAAGACCCAAGAAAATGAATTATTGCAGTCACGAAAGCTTTAAGTCAAGATGTAAGCATATATTTGCGTGCGTGTGTGTGTGCGTATGCGTATGTGTGTGCATGTGTGCGTATGTGCGTGTGTGTGCGTATGTGTGTGTGTCTGCGTATGTGTGCGTATGTGTTTGTGCGTATGTGTGTGTATGTGTGTGTGCGTATGTGTGTGTGCGTGTGTGCATATGTGTGTGTCTGCGTATGTGTGCGTGTGCGTATGTGTGTGCGTACGTGCGTATGTATGTGTGCGCACGTGCGTGTGCGTATGTGTGTGCGTACGTGCGTATGTGTGTGTGCGCACGTGTGTGTGCGTATGTGTGTGTGTGACTGTGTGTGTATTATTATGGGGAGCGGTAGTGTAGCGGTTAGCGCGCTGCGCTATGAACCTGGCGACCCGGGTTCGATTCCCGCTCACGGCCAACACCAGTGACGATTATCTGAACCGGTCCTGGGCCTCCCCTAGGTCGACTCAGCCTTAAATGAGTACCTGGTGCGGTGTGTAAACATCGCCACTAGGGAGACAAAGGCGGTCGGGCGTGGTGCTGGCCACCCACCCCCTCGTGTACCGTTCCGGCCTTCATAGGTGCTCGCTAACAACACTTGCCCCTACAGTCTGTTCAGGCTACACGGGGGATCTTTGTCTTTGTGTATTAGTAGAAGTACTAGTAGAAGTGGTGGTACTAGTAGTAGTAGCAGTAGTACTAGTAGCAGTGATAAGATAAAGTGGTGAGACTGTTACTACCACCGCAGTCACCACCACTACCGTCATCACCACTACTGTTACCACCATCACTACCGTCACCACCGTCACCACCACTACCGTCACCACCACTACCGTCACCACCATCACCACAACTACCATCACCACCACTACCGTCACCGTCACCACCACCACCACCACCGTCACCACCACTACCGTCACCACCACTACTGTCACCACCATCACCACAACTACCATCACCACCACTACCGTCACCACCACCATCGTCACCACCACTACCGTCACCACCACTACTGTCACCACCATCACCACAACTACCATCACCACCACTACCGTCACCACCACCATCGTCACCACCACCACCACCACCGTCACCACCACCGTCACCACCACTACCGTTACCACCACTGCCGTCACCACCACCATCGTCACCACCACCACCACCACCGTCACCACCACTACCGTCACCACTACTACTGTCACCACCATCACCACAACTACCATCACCACCACTACCGTCACCACCACCATCGTCACCACCACCACCACCACCGTCACCACCACCGTCACCACCACCGTCACCACCACCGTCACCACCACTACCGTTACCACCACTGCCGTCACCACCACCACTACCGTCACCACTACCGTTACCACCACCATCACCACCACTACCGTTACCACCACCATCACCATCACCACCACTACCGTCACCACCACCACCGTCACCACCACCACCGTCACCACCACTACCGTCACCACCACCATTACCACCACTACCGTTACCCACCACCACCACCGTTACCACCACTATCGTCACCACCACCACCGTCACCACCACCATCACCACTACCACCATCACCACCACCACCGTCACCACCACCGTCACCACCACCACCACCACCGTCACCACCATCACCACCACTACAGTCACCACCACTACTACCACCACCACCACCGTCACCACCACCGTCACCACCACTGTAGTCAACATTGGGGGGTGACCAAATCTTCAAGGGGGTCCCAACCCAGAAAAAAATCTAAATCCGAAAACTCATTTCCTGCCTAAAACATTTAAACGTTCGCTAACACATGGCATGGACTTTTCATTAATCTTTTACAACAATGTCTAACGGTGTTATTGTATTACATTACTCCGTTTTAACTGTTTTACCATTTCATTGTTCCATTGTAATGGCAGAGATTGGGGATTCACAAAGTAAAACCATAACCACAATCATAGAAACAGAAATCTACAAATTGATTAAAATGATTTTAAAAAGTCCACATTGTGGCCAAGGTTTGGCAAATTGTTGTTTTTATTTACACGGCATAGCGATTCTTTTTCATAGCAATATACTGGAGGGAGGGGACATTTTGAGCATATTTATTCTAATCACCCCCGATTCTTGTACAGGGAAATTGAGTTTCCCTGGTCCATACGGCCTACAGCCGGTTCATACACAGGACAGGTATGGTTAGTGGTGTAGTGTATGGTGTAGTGTATAGTGTAGTGTATAGTGTAGTGTATAGTGTAGTGTAGTGTATAGTGTAGTGTGTAGTGTAGTGTATAGTGGTGTATAGTGTAGTGTATAGTAGTGTAGTGTATAGTGTAGTGTATAGTGTAGTGTGTAGTGTAGTGTGTAGTGTGTAGTGTAGTGTATAGTAGTGCAGTGTATAGTGGTGTATAGTGTAGTGTATAGTGTAGTGTATAGTGTAGTGTATAGCATGGTAGTGTAGTGTATAGTGTAGTGTATATAGTGTATAG